TTCACTCCAGAGGAATAAAAACTTTTCCCCAAAAATTCCAAAATATTTTCATAACTAGGCCACCTCAGGCACAGAAACTTCAGCATTTTGCTCTGAAGCTGAACAGGAAATGAATTCACTTTTTACTTTTTTTTGGTATTGATATTCCATTAATGTTGATAGGGTCGGGGTTTTTTTTAAAGATAACATCGAGAATTTGGTGGTAAAGAGAGAATGGAAAATAAGAAGTTAAAAAATAGTGGAAAAATCCGAAAACACCTGTTTTTAAGGATGCTGGCAAGCCACCCTTGAACCAGCCTGAGTTTGGTCCACATGCTGACTGTGCTGCTCTATTTTGGACCCATCTCCCAATTGATGTGGAGCAGAACCAGTTTCCCACTGTGGTACATCAACACCTCCCACAGTTTCCCTCTTTTCCTGTGCTTTCCCTGCCCTGGTGCCTTCAGATGCAGCGTCTCAGTTCATGTTGGTACCTCCTTATCTCCAAAACTGGGCTAAAAGGCTCCTAATACCACACACTGCAGTGCTCAATAGCTGGGAAATGCTGGAACTAAAGGTCCCTCTGCAACTTTAATTTGGCCCTTGCCTGTCTTTACCATGATGGGGTTGTTAATTACTTGCTCACAGACAGCTTTTCTTTTGTTTTTTTCCCAGAGAAACCCAGGCTTGTAAGAGCCTGGGGATGACTGTGCATGGAAATAAAGCAGGATTTTTGTTTTGTTGCTGTCTGCAGTTGGTGAACACACCGTAAATTATGGGATCACAGGATGGTTTGGGTTGGAAGGGACCTTAAAGCCCATCCCATTCTACCCCCCTGCCATGAGGAGGGACACCTTCCACTGGACCAGGTTGCTCCAAGCTCCATCCAACCCGGCCTTGGACACTTCTGGGGATGGGGCAGCCACAGCTGAAATCATTAAGGTTGGAAAAGACCTTTGAGATCACCAATCCAACCACCAACCAGCACCATCCCCGTGTTCACCACTACACCACGTCCTCAAGTGCCACATCCACAAGCTTTTTGAACACTTCCGGGGATGGGGACTCCACCACTGCCCTGGGCAGCCTCTTCCAAGGCTTTACAGCACTTTCCATGAAGAAATTTTTCCTAATATCCAAACTGAACCTCCTCTGGTACAACTTGAGGCCGTTTCCTCTCATCCTGTTCCTTGTTCCCTGGGAACAGAGCCTGACCCCCCTGGCTCCCCCCTCCTGTCAGATATTTGTAGAGAGCAATAAGGTCCCCCCTGAGCCTCCTTTCGTCCAGACTGAACAACCCCAGAACACATTTTAGTGCACAGCAAATAACAAAAGTCATATAAATATATCTATGTATGACTGTATTAGCATTTTCCTGCTTTTCAGTCCTTAACTTCACACCCTTTGTATTCTTTTACTCTCTATCACTTTCAATTTCCCAACCAACCAACAGGTCAAGGCTGAAAAACGTTCAGCCTGCAGGACCACAGGACCTCCCTTTCACTTCATCAGTAAAACTGGGACCTCCAGACCTGTTCTGCCACCTCCTGTGCCCGAGCCCACCACGTGCTTTGTGACAGTGAACAGCTTTTTGTACATCCCCCATCGCCACGGAAAACACGGAATTCACACAAATATTCAGTGCAGAGGAAAATCACGCTCAATTCAGTGGGTTTTGAGCTGTCCCTGAAGCAGCAAAGGGTGACCTGAGAGCAAGGGGGGGTGTCCGTTCCTCACCCCCTTGGAGGGACCCGGACACCCGGGATCTGCTCCGTATGGGTGTGGAACTGCCACACTCTGGTGGTGTGGAGCTGCCAGGAGACGGCTCAGCCTCAGTGCAGATGGACTCAGCAAGTGCAAACAGATTTTTAACATGCAGATAAACTGGAGCACAGGAGGATTTTTTGACAAGAACAAAAAAAAAAAGAAAAAAAGAAAAAAAATCCCCACAACCCGTCAAAGTAACGAACTACCTGCTCTGGAGCCTGGAGGAACTGGAGTTGCTCAAGAAAATTAGGATAATTTTGAAGACTGTGAAAGAACACATTTTCCTACAATCTCTTAAAGGGGAAAAAAAAAAAGAAAAAAAAAAAGAAAAAAATCTGACTCATTTTAGCAAAAGCTTCTAAAAAATTGCTTAACTTAACTCACAGCTGGCACAGAAAATATACCCTGCAACATTTGAAGTCTGCCAAAACTCCAGGCAGATTCAAGCAGGGAGTGAAAGCACGGAGCCTGTCACCGCTGCAGAGGAGATGCTTCAGCAGCAGGGAGATAAGAGCAGCTGTAAATTCATGAGGGTGGATTGTTCTCAGCCCTGGTGACTGCAGGATATCTTTGGTCAACTAATTTTCACAGGACTGTGAACACCTGGCTCCTCCTCACTCAGGGCTGGAAATCACCCTGCTGAGGGTTATCCTGGTGATGGAGAAGGTTGATTAAGGTGCCCAAGGAAGCAAAGCCCTCAGGCAGGAGGTGAATCGGCTCAGAGGACAAGGAGCCCAGGAAAGCAAAGCCTCTGTGCCACAACCCTGCAGTGAGAGGCAGGGTTAGACCTCCAGCAACATTGTGGGGAGGGAGAAAAGGTTAAAAAAAGCATAGAATCCTGGAATGATTTGGCTTGGAAGGGACATTAAAGCCCCATCCACTATCCCAGGCTGCTCCAAGCCCCATCCAGCCTGACCTAGAACACTTCCAGGGATGGGGCAGCCACAGCTTCCCGGGGCAACCTGTGCCAGGGCCTCCCTGCCCTCACAGGGAAGGATTTTTTTCACAATATCCCATCTATCCCTGCCCTCTGGCAGTGGGAAGCCATTCCCTGTGTCGTATCCCTCCATCTCTTGTCCCAAGTCCCTCTCCAGCTCTCCTGGAGCCCCTTCAGGCCCTGCAAGGGGCTCTCAGGTCTCCCTGGAGCCTTCTCTTCTCCAGGTGAACCCCCCAGCTCTCCCAGCCTGGCTCCAGAGCAGAGGGGCTCCAGCCCTTGGAGCATCTCCAGGGCCTCTCTGGACTCTCTCCAGCATCTCCACATCCTTCTGATGTTGTTCCCTGGGGCTGGGGGCAGCTCTGCAGGGGGCTCTCACCCGAGGGGGCAGAGGGGCAGAATCCCCCCCTGCCCTGCTGCCCACGCTGGGGATGAGCCCAGGACACGGGGGGAGCTTCTGGGCTGGGGCATCTCCAGCCTCTCACCCACCAACACCTCCAATCCCTTCTCCCCCCAGCCTGGGTTTGTGTTTGGGATTGCCCTGACCCAGGTGCAGCACTTTGCACTTGGCCTTGTTGAGCCCCTTGAGGTTTGCATGGCTTTGAGAGATTCCAGTCATGCTGGAGGGAAGGATGTCCTGTCCTTCCTGAAGATCCCAGAGGACCATCTCATACCTGAGCAAACTCCATCTCCTCTTCTCTGACTGGTTTATCTTCATCAGGTTTGTGGAGGATTCACGAATCTTTCAGAATTGACATGCAAGTCATTGATTTTTCTGTAGGAAGAACAAACATCCCTTTACTTGAGCACAATTATCACTGGAATCTGCTTCCTAAACCAGGATTTCAGGAATCATGATTCAAGCCCCAGAAAGTAATAAACTTAGCTCCAAATTCAGAGATTTTAACAGAAATAAGTGGGAGAGTCTCTTATTTTGGCTTCTGGTTTATAAAACCCAAGGTAAACTTGAAACCAGTGGACAAGCAACTCAACTTTTCCTTTTTTCTTAAAGGCAAACAGGAATTCCCAGCCCACTGCTGGAGCTCAGCAGAGAGGGTTTTAAATAGCTGGTGTGGGTGGGAGTAACATCACCAAATCTGAACTCTGAACCTGGATGCAGTGCAAACCAGTTCTCAGGGAATGTGCACTCACCCAAACCGTGCCAGCCCCCCAAAATCACTCCAATTAACCCCAATCTCGTTTGTGACACACGTCGGAGTCGCAGGAGCATCTTGAGGAGCTGAGCAAACCAAAACATTCCAAAAACAGCAAGAAACGCACAAATGCTCAGCCCTGACAAGGAGCCATTTAGCAGTAAGTACATTTTTTTGTGTCTTTTAGCACAACATGAAAGTTTTGTGTCAGTTTTTATCCTCCAGATGTGTCCCTAATGTTGTCATCGATAGCAGCCCTTGGTATTATATCATTTTAATAGGAAAAAAAATATCCAACTCCTATTTTGAACTTTTTAATCTTTCCCTGTGTGCCAGAAAGTAGAATAACTAAAGCTTATCTATTTATGCCCGTGCCTAAATCTTCAATGCATATATAAATTTAAATCTCATTACACTCTAACACACTGCTTTAAAAACACGGAGACATTTTAAGAGTCTGCTACACATTTTTATCAAATAGAGGGACTTAATTTTTATTTTTCTTCCACATAAAGCCAGCGAAATCCTGCATGTTAATACTTCAAGAAAATAAACTTGTGTAAAGATTTGCCTATCCAAAGTACAGTATAATTTAAATTTAAATCCCTCGGAAACCCAAAGCACTGTGTTTATAATATGAGAACAGCGGGCAGTCATGCCCTTGACTGGAGGGCATGTCATCCAGTCCTCTCCTTCTCTGCAAAACCATCAGCCTGGCAGTAGTGACAGATGAACAGCTTACCATTAATTTCTCCTCTTTCATGCCTTCAATCCAAATGGTGCATATTCTCCACAGGGAGGCATCAAGGTCTTTGCCTTTATTTCTCTTGCATACTCGCACTGACTTATAAATCAAGTGCAGATAAGAAGAGAGGGCAAATATCAATCTTTTTTTTTTTTTTTTTTTTTTTTTTTTCCTGGCCAGTGCCCACTGGCACAAAACTGAGCTTTGACTGAAAGGTTCTTCAAATCTTTCTGTGATTCACAGGCAAGGGAGGGCTCCACGAGGACAAAACAACAAAGGAAATTTGAGACAGAGGATTTGTATATCTTGGCTTCAGAAATTAGAAGCCTCCTCTCCACGATGTTTAAATATGGGTTAGGAAAAAAAATGGAATTAAGAAAAAATAAAAAAGAAAAGTGAATCTAAGTTGTTATTACTTTATTGAAATAAATCTTTGTGGAATATAAACCAGGCAGTCACTGGAGCAGCTCTAATCAGCATCTTGTGTTTTCCCCAACCAGGCTGAATTTTGGGAGGGGTGGGGTGTCTCTCCTCTTTGCCACTGAAGCAATTCAATCCTTCAGAACACGTTGGCTTCTGCTGTTACTTTGTGGCATTAATGATTAGGGTTTGTCTCGCTGAAAAAAACCTGTAAGAAATCTTATTTCAATTTAAAATACAAAGGGCCAGATCTCCATCCCATGAAAACCAGCAGTGCTCCACAGGCTCATGTGCAGCTCTGCTGACTGACAGTCATAGCAAACTGTCTGTCTGGGACAGAAAATTGTCCCACAACGGTTTTTAACTACAGCGGACAGAAGTTCAGTGCTTTATTAACTATATTTTCTTTGAAGCTGCTACTGCATTTTTCAAAGTTCAAAGAAAAAATATCTTTTGACATTTTTTAAAAATAAGCTTCACAAATCATCTGAGTTTCTGTGATTTTGGGAGTTTGTTAGAGACTTAGATACTAATTCTGTAACCAACCCTCCAATGCAATGAGAGGATGTGGGTCTTCCTCCTCCAGCTCTCTCATATTATCTTTTGGTGCATTACTGGAAGAATTTGCTATTCAGTTGCAACAAATTGATCTTGCATTTAAAACATATATTAAATCATTGGTGTGAGTGATACAACTTTATTACGTGTCAGGAAAAAAATCTATATTATGATAGTTGTTGACAAATGATAATATTATTTTCCAGCTAAGCACGAGGTGTTAATGCTGCTAAATGGCTGCAAATGTTGACGTTAAAGGCTGCCTGCTGGCCATTTCCAGGTGACATGTCTGGGGATTTGGGGCTATTTCATTTTCCAGCCTTTTTTAAGGCTTCAGGCCCCATCCATAAATTACAGCTGATGACAAAAGTGGAAGCTAACAGTGGCAAAATTAGGCCCACAGGCAAAATAATTATATATACAGCCTTTAGCAGTGAGGGAGAAAGCCATCAATCAGCCCCCAATTATTCACTAGTTAATCAGCTCTGCCCTTCCTTTATTGAAGGGTTACAGTGTAATTAAGTTGGCAGCATCCTTTTAATTCATCAAACATACAACACATGGCGGTGTTTGCTGCAATCAGGGGACAGCACCTTTGTGTGCCTGACCCCTGGCTCTGCTGCAGGAGAGGGGGAAACTTCAGAGGTAAGAGAGACTATTTCTGTGAGAGCAGAGAGGGTGGGCAGGGCTTTCCCACCATCCCACGTGCCTGCACCAACTCCAGAAAACTTGTATTAATTGGGTTATTCACACATCACCCAGGGCAGGTGGTTCTAGACCGCGGCATTTATGGATTTAACATCCTTTTCCCAGCAATCCCTCCCTGATAACGAGATCCAAACATCCCCCTGGGGCCCCTGGATTGATGGGGGACCACGACAGACAGAGTGGCCCCTTCCAGGCCAGCAAAGCAAACAGCCAATGGATTCATCTCTCCATGAAATATTTTTGTGGAAACCGCGTTTCAGGAAACAACAGAAGCAGCTCTTTGAAGGCAGAATGTAGTTTTGTATCCTCTCTCAAATTAATGACACTGGATTTTATATTATACAGCAGATTAGTATTTTCAGTGGCTTTTTGCCAGTAAGGAAGTATTTGGATATTGATTTTTATCTCACCAGTAATGGAAATAACTCAAGATATTGCACTTCTCTATCCATGCTGAATTTTAACCTGTGGATGCCCTCAATGGCTCTGGCTTTGCCTTGGATGTAAACCCCAGTAATGCCATTTATTGTGCATGTCATTTTCTTCCTATATTTACCTGACCATAAATCTGTTTTCCTGCCACATCCACTTCCTGCTCACGGCATCCTCAGAGACGTTGAATGTCCTGGGCGTCCTTCCTACCTTGCAGAATAGATTCAGAATTATTTATTCATAAACAAGCTCTGTGTTTCTAACCTGCTTGTAATAATGAAGTTTTATACAATCCTGGGCTCTGCTGCATGATGTGGGCAAACAAACCCAAACCCCTCGACATCTGAATGCACTGGGAATATCAATGTTAAGAAGCATTGGATCTTGGACAAAAATCTTTATTGCTCTCCAAGTACAAGAGCATTGTCCTTCTGGGCACTTTTTAAATGGTTATTTTACCTCATTCAATCTGATTGAAGACATTGGGAAGATTCTCACTGTAAATAAAAATACCTTTCCCAAAGATACAAAAAAATTGCATTTTATTCTATTTTCGTTGTTTTGGTGTGTTTTTGTTTGGAGGAGAAACACACACAAAAGGATCACATGTCTACCCCAAATCTCCAGGACACCAAGAGCACAGTCTGGGTCAAGTCTAGCCAATAATCATCAGCATCACCAAAGACTGACGATGATGCAACAGGAGTGTTAAACATAATTTGTGTTATTCTGCCTTCCAGTAGTTTTGCCCCACCAGACACCCAATAATTTCACAATGTTCCACATTCTCTGGAATTCAGAGCTCAGACCAAGAGAGGAAGGACAGAAGGTGGGAACATCAACCTTCCTGGAGGAACTGTTATCATCTTGTGATCAACACATGTTGCCCCAACAGCTCAGGGAATCTGATATTCTTACGTCACTTTGGATTTTTTGCCACTAAATATCCATATGGACAACATGCCACTGTCTTAGTTTAGGAATCAGCTTGGTTTGCCAGATCCTTTGGAAGGAGAACTCTCCCTGAGAGCCACTCCAAGAGATTTTGGGTGCCTGTCACCTCTACCATGGTCCACTCTCCTGACAGAACTGGACACTAAACTGAGCTGCCTGAGACCAACGTGAGCCACCAAAGAATCTGCCCCAGCAGAGAAATTTCCACAAACTAACAGCTACATCCTTGCTAATAAACCACCAGTCTCGATGATTTGTTTGTCTCCTGGTTGTACTCACGCATCTTTTTTACTATTTGGGGATTTGGACTTTTTTTTTTTTCGTGACAGAAACTTGGGCTGCCCCATTTGGGTGCTGCATTATCTCGATGTCCCCGAGCATCATCTTCTCCTGGAGCCAACGTGTGCCATATTGCAGTCAAGCCCAGGCAGAACTCAGCAACAATCATGTCAGCAGAGAGTTTTTCACAATGAGATTGTATCTGTTTGTTATTGAGGGTCATTGAATCCCGTCTGTCAGGGTGATGTTATTGAATAGGTTCAAGTAATAGTTTGTGCTGATTATCAGAAAATATGTTTAAGAACTGTCACTCTGTTTATATCTTTCAGGGTTGCATTTGAATTATGCAGATAAGTGGGATCAAGAGGTGTAATGCAGCAAAGTACAATTCCTGATAGAAGCTGAAAAATAAAGTTTGCATCAAATTATCTATAAAAAAAAGGGACTTTGTACACGCCTGTTCTGTTTAAACTGTAAAAGACTAAATGCACAAAAAGCACATTTAGATTTCTTGTTGTTAAGCACTCGGTGTGTTTCCAGACGACAAAAAATGACACACACAAAAAAATCTTCAGTATTGTTGTGAAAAGTTGCATGGGAGCAAAAATAATTTTTTTTCAAGTGTGTTCATTTGAGTTTTTAAAAGATTCAAAAAAATTATTCCAGCAGGTCAAGGAATTCCACAGTCAATTATTCCGCAGTCAGGGAAAACACTTTTGGTGGACAAAATTAATGTTAAAAAAGTGCCAACTGCAATTTTTAATTCTGCAATAAAACTTTTCCTAGCAGTGAATAAGAACTTAAACCACATCCTTTTTTTTCCTAACCATCTAATTTTGCCGTTCTCATATACAATTTCAAATTCCCTGCATCTTGGTTAATTAAATAAACTATCCAGTTGGAAAAAAAAGCAGACAATCCAGTGTGTCTGCTGGAGCTGAACAGTCTGTTGTGATTGTATATATTATTTTATTTGAATAACATTTTGTTTTTATGTATTTTCTACTGTGAATATTTTAGTCATGTTCCCATGAATGTTTTCACGGGCAATTTTTAAGTAATAAGATAATGAATTGTGTGGAAATATATAATAATATAACATAATAAAATAAGATATTATGTGGAAATTTATTCTCTTGGTTCTTGGACTTGGATATTATACTGGGGTATAACCAGAAGCAGCACTAGCACTGCCACTGGTTTTCCAGTGAAGACACTGGACTTTGATTAAACACATATTTTTTTCTATTGCTGATAACAATTATAATTGCTGATATCACCCTCTTGCTCAGCAGAATTTGGAAGAGTTCTCTCTAACTGCTACTTTTTAGTGAAAATTGTTCCTGAGAATAAAACAAAGTCATCTATTACATTACTTAGAGAAACAAAAAATAAAATATGAAAATTCAGTCATCTTCAGGGCTTAAATAATGAAAAATAGATCTTATTTAGGGTACACAATCATAGACTCTGTCTAGATATTCGTATTTACTTATGCAGACACCAAATGAATTTGACTGCACTTACTAATAGTTCCCAAGATAACTTTGAAACTAAATATATTTTCTGTGGTAGAGATACTGAGGATAGAGTGGAATGAGGAAGAGATGCCTTGAAGCAAAAACACATCTCAGCTATCCATTAATAGTCTGGAAAAGAGATTATTTGGAACAGTTGTGAAGACAAAACAATTATCAATGTGGAAATTGAATATTTAGAATAACCTCTGAACAGTCACGGAACTAGCACCAAAATCCATGTTTTTGTGTGAACAATAAAAACTACATTTTACCTGACTTTCTAAGCACACAACTTGAAATGACTGAGAAAAACTAAACTTCCTCATGGAGAAATAAAGAAGAGGAAAAGCAGACTGAGAGGTGGAAGTGAATTCTATGCTTTGGTTGGCACTCGAGGTAGAATGGGGCTCTGGTGGCACAAAGTTTTTTACACAACAGTTTTTCACCTGTTGGTCCCACGACAAAAATATCACCTTTATGTGACCTCTACCAAAAAACAGAACCCAGGAAACGTATTTTTAAAAGGATGAGAGCTACAAAACCTCTATGGAATGGGTATGTCTGTGGCCAACATTACATCACACCAGCCAATACATCCCAAGATTCCATGATCCACAGCTGGGAATAACAGGCACGAGCAACACAAGGGCTGACAATGGAAGGAGGCAGAAAACGCTGCATTCCCTCTGCATAAACTCCAAGGGGAATATTGAGCTGAAAATCCACATTATAAACATAAAATGGTTGTCTGGCTCTTGAGAGAGGATTTTTCTTTGCGTTCCCCCTGCAAGAATGTGTTTCAGCCTAATGCATTGGATTCATTTGTTTTGTGGAGTGGAGCTAATGGGATGAAGATAAAGTGACTTCCAGGCAGAAAACCTTGTTAATCAAAACCAATTTGGGCCACTTGTACGCGTTGTTCTGACTTTCTGAGTTGGAACATCCATTTTTCACAACAACCCCGCGTGCCTGCAATGAAAAAATCACCATGTGTTTCATTTTGGGATGCCTACTCAGACTGTGTTCATGTTTTTATGACCTATAGACAGATCTTCCCTCCCTAAAACAAAAGCCTCTTATCTTTGGGAAAGACTTCTTTCTACTTTAAAGTCTATTTCCAAGATGGAGCTATGAATGGATTCATTTCTTGACCTGTTTTGCAGAAATTTGAGGAATCTTAGTTGCCTACTGGAAATCAAGTTCACATCCTGGGGAGAATAAAATTGAGAAAAATCACATAAAAATGTGTTTAAAGCAGAATGTGGTGTTTGTAGTACCTTAATGATTAGTAGTTGCATGGTTTTAATATGTTATCTTAAAAGACAAGGTGCCACCACAGAGGAAGGCACCAGAATGAAGTGGCCAATAAGCATTTTGATCTCTTTGGAAATGGCATATTTTCCACAAATTATTTGGAATATGTACCACAATAAAAGCCACTCAAGAGGAGAGACTGTTGACATAAAAAAACAGGGCAACAATCACTAATGAAGCATTGAAACATTGGTGAGAAGTAAATATAAATTTACCAGGAAGGCTTATTAGCAGTAGAAGCAGAAAGGTGTTGAAGGCAGTGTTTTGCATTTGTGTAAAATGCATAAATTAATGAATTCTTCATGGAAGCCTTTTTTATTCTGATTAATAAATCCTATTTCACCATTAAAACCCAAAAAAAAGTCTCTATCCTCTTCCACACATCAGTGCCTCTCTTTACCTTATTTTCTCTTTGCCCTTGTTCTTGGGAAGTAGAGAGGCTGCTTTAAGCCAGACCTGTGCAAATTTATCACCTGTAAGCTTGCCTGGACCCTCTTTTCTTCCCAAATTCAGACAAACCAATTGTCAGATTGTCCGTGTTCAACTCAGACACGTGTGAAGCTCTTTAGTCCAGGGTTTTAGATCTCCATCTATTTGTAGTTCCTCAACGCTGGGTTAAAATCTCTGAGCAAGACCAAAAATCTGCTCAAAGAGGGAGCAGATTAAGTCAACAGAAAGTTTTGCAAAGTTTCAAATGAATTATTAAATCACCTTCTGCAGTCCACACCAAGAAACCCAAACCTGCCCTGGGGATTTCAAACTCCAGTGAGCTTGGGCAGTGCTCTGCATCCCTAACAAGTCTTGTAGTCAGACCAAGGGGCTTCTTTGTGGACCTTTCTTTTCCATGCACCACTCTAGTAAACACATCCCTTTTTATCCCACTTACTTTTGTTTGCATGGTCCATGTATTTCTTTATCTATGTTTTCGAATGCTGTTAAACTCCCCTCAGTATTTCTGAAGAAAGTCTGGATGTCAGTAACTCGGTATTCCCGAGGCAACCTGCAATAACAACCAGCTCAGGATTGCAAGGGATACCCAGCCAGGAAAGGGATTTCATTTCTAGTGGGCAATTGCAAACAACAAGAGAAATATTATTTTTTTAAATTAAGATAAATACCTTAATGGTGTACTATTAAAATAATGTGCCCAGCTTACACAGACCTGAAAAAAGAGGCTCCTATCAAGTTTTCCCTCCTTAGGGAAACGTTCTTATTACCAGCACAGGAACATTAATCACACGGAGCCCTGGTGGAGTCACTCTTGAAAAACAGGCCCTTTGTCCCGTTTGTCTGGAAGCTCCTCTTCCTCACAGCCACCAACTTCTAGCTCTGCCACCTCCCAGTTCCTTCCCAGTGCATACTTCACTGTGGGGATGCAGGGAATGGGAATGCAGCTTTTCCTTCTCTCCTGACTGCAGAAATTTAGTGCTGTATCATCTCCAAACCACTGTGCACATCTGTAACTGCTGTGAACGGGCTGCTCCTGTACCCACCTCTGCCAGCCCAGCACAGGGTAAGAGCTTCTTAGAGCAAGAACTACAAGGCCAATAATGGGACAGGGTTAGACCAGAGAGAGGAAAAACCCAAGAGATAAGAACCAAGAACTGGATTTTTTGTGAGGAGCTGTCACTGCACTTCAGGCACAGAGAGGTGCAAAGCTGGTGCTGTGGGTTATGTGAAATCATGTTGAGCACTCATCAAGAACAGACCCAGGTTTGTGGGTCAACATCTTGGGGCAAAAACACTGTGGTAGAGCCTGTCACACACCTGCACAGCACTCATTTAGCAGGTGGGCCTCAGGATATCAAAGCATATAAATAACCAGCCCTGAAAGCAGCAGGCCTGTCCCTCTGCTCTGCAGGTCACGTTCCTTCTGTACCCTAAATGAGGCAATGAGAAAATAATGACATGCAATGTAGTTAAAAGTGAATGCCTTCATCCTTTTGTTGTTTATCAGTTAACAAAATGACATTATAGAGATGCTTTATGTATTTATTGAAAGGGTAGAAACATCTATCAAAGCTCATTTCAGCTATTGTTAATGCCACCAGACTTGTTCTCTTCTGCCATGAGCTGGAACAGGACTGTCAGCGAGAGATGACTGATATAGGCAAATGATTTTGCATCATTTGAGATACATCCAGAAATATAATCATACCCAAGGTCAAACATTAGAGAAAGGTTGGGCATTTGGGGCAATGAAAGCAATGCTGTCAGATATTGAAATCTCAGCAGGAGATTCAGCTCCATTAAAACTGAATACACAATTACTTTCAGCTTGCTACTTCCCATGCATGTATAACTAGTTTGTTCAGCTTGGTGCCCCCTGTGTTAGTCAGAAAAGGTAGGATTTGAATATTTTGAGGAATGGGGATGATGCTCCTTTCACAGGAGTCTACATAAGTGATAAAATGACTGTATAATATACATGCAACTGGTGCATCACTTCAACAATTAACCTGCCTTGAAGAACAGACCTAAGAGATACAAGGGACTGGCTCTGCCCAGGGATCTCAGAATCCTCTGCAAGCATTTGGGTGACTTCACGTGAGTGGCCTTCCAGAAGATGCTCCAGGAAAAGGAACACTGGGTGTGCCTGCCAAGCAGTGCCACTGGAGGAGCAGGAGGAAAAAGAGAACCAAAAGAAAGAAATGAGGGGAGAAAGCAATGCAGATCATTTGGAAAGTGAAATGGCAAAGGAGAAAGATGATGGGAAGGGCTTCCTCAGGATGGGGATTGCACAGGGAGAACAGAGAGAAACTTCTGGGCTCACTGGTGTGGGGGAATGTGGCTGTTTTTTGAAGCCTCACTAGTTATCCATAAATTAATTGTACAGGTATGAGGGAAACTCCACTTGCACTTGGCTACTTGTGCAACTCTCTGCCTGTTAATGTGTCACTGGTGAGACAATTCCAATCTCAGAGATGCCCCACCAGCTTCAAACAACAAATATTTATTTTAAAAAATCCTCCTCTTAAGGGATATTCCCTCCAAACCTGGCCTTTTATCCAAGAAAGCACCAGCTCAACTTATCATTCATTCAGGCATTTCAGGCTCTCAGATCAGTGACAGACCAGTATTTTGTGATCTCAGGATCAAGCTAAAGAGATAAATCTCCTGATCTTGCCTGATAAACTAAATAATTCTTGTAACATTGGAAAGATTTTGAATTTTTATGTGCTATTTTTGTTTCTGAGATGTCAGTACTGGGCCTCAAAAAGTGTCTTAATATTAAGTTCCAAATTTTCCAGAAAAAACCAACCCCCCAGTAATTTTCAACTTACATTTCCACATTATTAATGTTAAGAAATTGCAGATAAGATTGAATTATACAGTTATAAAGTTTCTTGTATTGATGGTAGCCACCAAAAATCTTCAGTTTATCTTCTCTATGTACTTCATACAATCATTTCCTGATCCATTTAGCCTTACAGTACCCGTGGAATATATAATGCCAGGAACATATAAATAACTGCATTTACTGTGTGACTTTGACACATTACCATGCAGGTTTAGGCAAATTAATTTCTGATGTTACACCTCGATATTTTAAGTCCCACAGAATTTTTCAAGAAGTAAACATTATTAATAAATAATATGGATTAATATTAAATAGTTTTGTTATTTATTGATGTTACCATCAATAACAACTACCCATATCGTGCCCTTAAACTCTTCCAGTGTCATGAGTGGTAAGAATACTTGTTTACTTTCACTGCAAAAGCCAAAGAATTGTTGGGAACATCATCTCCCTTTCCCTGATAATGCATTTGTTCTCCACTCCAAAGACTGAGGCACTGACTGAACACAAAAACATTAAAAATATGGGACAAATGGGAAACAACTGTTTCTATTTTACAAATTTCTACCCATGGTGACTTTTACTCCCTCTCAGTTACCTGGACCCACAGACCCACTGCAGCCAGATTCACCCCTGGCAGACAGGGAAAGTGTCACTGATCCATTCACTCCCAAATTCCCCAACCCCTTCATGTGCAGTTCTTCCCCTCAGATGTGTTTAAACTTAAGAAACAACATAAAAAAAAGGTTTAAGGCTTTTTTGAAGTGAAGTGTGTTCCTCTTTTGTCGGTTTTCTCTGCAAATAACACCATCCTCCCCAGCCAACAAATCCCATCTCATATTCTGGCAGCCAAAAATACACCAACTATAGGAACATGTTATGAAGACATGAAGAACCTACACGTGCCCAAGCACCTGGTTTTCTATTGCAGTTGGAGACAAGTTGTTGTCTCTTTTCTGCTTCTCCCCACTCTATTTCCCTCTCCTGTGCTACTCAAGCAGACCAGAACCTTTCCTGTTTCCTCATGTTTTAAGAGAAATAAAATGAAAAGTTACTACCTGCCTTAGCTCTGTGGTTCACCCCACCTTTCACATCAGCCGTGGGAGCATCTCCAGGGTTGTGGAGCACCAAACATCATCTTTCCCAGGTGGGGACCTGCATCATTTCCCCTGTGGACCATAGTGTGAGGGCTGAGCTTCCCTTACACCCCTCTGCAAACCCTGCTCACACTGACCCACTATTTCTTCTTGCAACATCTGTAATATGTTGTTGTGCATGTTGTGCCTAATATGTGTTATTTTTCAGGCACAAAAATAACCCTGATGTGCAGTTCTGCCTCTTTAAATGCAAAAATATAATTTTGAGCAGCATCTGAAAGACCAAACCAACTTGGCCATGTCACCCAGCAGCAGCCTAAGAGGTGCTGGTACACATTCATGTCCCTTAACTCCAGGCAGTGTCTCCTGGTGCAGCCCATCCCCTTCTTTCCCTGGGAAGCCTCTTGAGCCAAAATGAGACAGCCATGAAAATATTTAATTCTTCTAGTTGGCCAAACCTTACTGATTTATTTCTCTTCCCTGGGCACTCAGGTCACGTGCACGTGTACATGTGTGTGCACACACGTGTGAAGGAGCAAGATCACCCAAAGCACTGGTAGAGCAGCCTCTTTCTATTTTTAATTTCATTTTTCACTGCTCCACACATCCGTGGTGTCTCACACATCTCAGTGGTCTTTGAAGTTCCCATGCTTTCAAGGTCTCACATCTGCCACACTATCAGTACCCTGCCACACATGAAAAGAATATAATTATGGATTTAGTGTAATCATTGATTTCTGGGCTCCAAACCACTCAAAGAAAGGTCACGAGTCCACATGGCTGCCCCTTAGGAACAGGATTTGCATATGACTATTTTATTTAGCTGAAGACACCCCCAATTAAATGTAGACTCTTCTCTTCGGGCTCTGCACCTGAGGCGGCTCAGGGAAGACGGATCAATCTTCCCTGTGCCAACTGTGCCTCGTTTGCACCGAGCTGAGGCTGCTCCCACCTGTTAGAGGAGTTTTTCGCTCACCAGCCCCTTTGATTCCCGAGGCAGCAGCTCCCCTTGGAGCAGTGCCACGGCAGGACGTGGAGGACGTGCATCCGAGGAGCTGCACTTTTGGGAAGGTGGCAGGGAGCCAGCAGATTGTGCCTGGAGCAGGGGAGCCGCTGTCACCCCTCCCTGCCTGTAACTCACTGCAGCTCCCCGAGAGCCGCAGTGCAGATGTAAAGACATCACTTTGCCCACAGTGTTTGGATTAGCAGTAAATCTACTAATCCAACACAATATCCAAGGGGGCATGGCCAGATCTGTGGGTTCATAAATTCACACCACTCCTTTTATTATTCCGGGCCCCAGATGGTTTCCAATGGGCACGGGCATAATGAGATCTTGGAAGACATTATTATATTCTTAGGTCAAAATTCTCAGTCCAATCTCTTTTATCAGGCTCAGAGCCTTTGTGTCCCTGAAGTGCTAATACTTTATGCTGATTGACTATGCAGGCAGCCGTGGGAGCTCACATTATTTTTGATACAATTATTATTGGCAGCAAAAACTGCCCCCCCCCCAAAAAAAAAAAAAAAAAAAGAAAAATCCCATTTTATATTACTTATGGTACCGTCTGGAATATACAATGCCCGGGACCTTCATTATGGTTCTGTTTTCATAACAAAACATATGAGAGGGGAAAAAAGAGGGCAGGATAAAAGTATTATTTTAGTAACGGGAAGACAAAGTATGAGCTTGATCATAAAGACTAGTGAGCTTTATAAATGCATCTTTGAACTGAGAGAGGCTTTTTTTTTTTTTTAAATAAATGGTTCTTTGAACCTGGCAGTTGTAAGGAAGTGAAACAGAGCAAACTTTGAAAAGTGCGCTTGTCTGAGTCTCCTTCCACCGTATCTGGCTGAGAGTACAGGTGGCCAAGCACAGAAAGTTCCTGCCAATTTCTAAAGTTACACTTTTATCCACTAAACAAGCATCCTGATCCGGGTTACCAAACAGGGCACTCAACAGGAGCCTCAAAGTGCCTGGATTAAATATCACTTATTCCACAGCCTGGGCCATCCAGCCTAGTAAAGCTTGATCTAATACCATTTCACCCTTTTCCTGTGCTCGCTGGATTTTGGGTAATGGACCTTCCCAGGAGACTCCTCTCAGAAAGTATCTTCTTGTAGAAGGGTTGATGCACATGCTTCTATTTTAAAAAGCACATGTTCAGCACATTTCACTTTTGTGAAATGGAATATGGTTTAAGTTTGTTTCAATAAAAAAAAAAAAGGATTCTGCTGGAAGGACTTATGTCAAAGTGCAAAAGGTTTTGTACACAATGAACAGACTTTTTTTTTCTTGAGGGCCAAAGAGGAGACACTAAAATGAAATCTCTCTGCCACAAAAGCAGTTGCTGTTTTATACACAGGGAATCTACAAGGAGGCTTGTTATGAATTCTCCATCTTTGTATTTATTTTGGATTAGCCTGATTTAATCTAAGAGTCACATCAAGAAAGCCAGACCTCATCTTTAATGAGAAACTTAATATGTATTCACAGTAAACACTTTAAATGTCAAAGTTTAATGGACAGTATTCAAAGGCCATTATTATGGTAACTGTGCTTTTATATCAGCATGGCTGATGAGGAGTAATTCTTTTAAAGACATTCTTCAAAAAAAATCAATATAAACTTTAAATAATAACAACAAAAATTCCCTACAGGGCATCTTAATTCAGAGACAGGACAGTAACAAAACCCTACGTAAACAGGAGATCCAAACTCAAGCCTTGGCAACGACTATTGGGCCGAGGAAAAGCGTGAGTTGTACAACTGCAGTGCCCAGTGAGCTCTGTGAGCAGAGCAAATTTATATTCAGCCTTCTTGTCCCCTGAGTTCAAGTCTAAACCCACGTCAGCATCAGCCTCCCTGAGCTCAGCTCTTCCCTCCTCTGCTTTCTTCCTCCAGGTCCTTCTCACCCAGAGACATCCCCACGCTCATCCAGGATATAGAAACACGCACACCCCTCAGGAGTCACTCCTTAGGACAGCATTTAAAAATTCTACAGAGCAAAACTTCAGAGAGGAACCTTATTCTTTGTATAAACATGCCTAGAGTCTCTCATCTGATTAAGAGGAGCCTCTTTCCTAGGTTTTCCAACACGCTTTCTCCAACTCTCTTCCCTGGCAACGCGGGGGGTGTTGGGATGGAGAGCTCGACCCAGCAGGCACAGAGTGCTGGCATCATTTTTGCTTGATTTTACTCTTCAAAAAACATCAAATTCTGCTTTCCCCCTCACACACAATTCCCTGCACAATTTGATCCATCCTTTACCCAAACACGTAAAAAGTGTCCTGTGTTTCCATATGTGCCCATGGACATATACATTTTCTCAGGAGTGTTTAATAAATATCCTTACACATATTCCAGCATGATCCCTGTCCACTGAAACAGAAGGTGGAAAAGCTCCTGAGTGAAGATCTGTCTGGATCTGAAGGAGCTGCTTCCTACACCAGTCTCAAAATCTGTGACATCATGATGTTTATCAGAGGGGAAAAAAGCCTGTTTAAGCAGCTTCATTTTCATTTGCAGCCATGGATATGTTTACCAATTTATAGATAATTTTCTTTAATTGCATTTAGAATCAATTAAAGCAGTTCATTTATGTGGAATGATGTAGCAACCAAAAGCTGCTGTTTACTCATTCCCTCCACTGAGAAACTTTCCCTTCGGCAACAGGGTTGAACTTTCAAAGGAAATGATAATAGTTACATTCATGCAAACTCAGAAAGGCACCAAAATAATTCCTTTTCAAACAGATTCAGAGAGATCAAAAACTCTGGTTTATGTGGATTCAGCCTCTGTAACCAACAAACACGATGTTATTTTATCTGAACATGCAGAAAATACAGAAATGGGGAAGAGAATTTCTTTATCCAAGTGTTCCAATATGGAGTCACTTAAGGAAAACGAGTAATTATTGCATATTTATTTAATCTGCTGACTAATGATTGTGTATTTGCTGCTTTGCTGTGGCTACAGCTCTGCTCCACTCTCAGCTACCTATGGTTGACAAGGGAGAAAACACCAGAGATATCCTGCAATCCTGGGTTTTCCAGAATGATCCTTAAGCGATTCTTGGAGAACAGCACACGTTGCAAATGTTAATTGGTTCTGCCTTACTTTACTCCACAGAATGCATCCCTCTTGTGCTGTTGCCAGCCCATAATAAGAGGATATAATTCCTTGGCAGTGAGTAGTGGCAGCACTGGAACAGTGGGAAACCCTCGTTGGAGAGGCAGGACCTGGTTCTCTGCTAATTCCACTCACATCTGGCTCTGCTGGACCCACAGAGTTTGCCCCTGATGCATCAGAAATGAGCAAACTCTTCCTCTGAAGCAGCCAATGTGTTAAAAAAAAATACAAAACAGAAAAGAGAAAGGATAATGACCCTTCAGTGAGGCCTATTTTTGCCACCTTGTGTTTGTGGAGTCCTTGAGTCTTCCTACGAAACACTCGCCAACCAAAAACTGACAATACCCAGACACAGTCAGGATCGGCCTCCTAAAACTTATTACCCTCTTTTTTCCTTTGGAAAGAACATGGAGCTACTACTTTGAAAGGAATTAAAAAAGCATTGATTGATTATAAAGGAGAAACGTGTGAAATCCACAAAAAAATGCAAAAGCAAACAAACCCATAAAAGTTACTGCTGCATTATAGTATCTGGATTCAAATAAAAAGAGTGCACTTGATGCCACAGCACATGTAAGGATGCTAAGAAGAGATACAGTAGCATCTTCAATATTAAATATTATATTAAATAAATGCAAGCAAAAATTCTCCAAATAACCTTAAAATATTTCTTAGCAGTTATCTTCCCAAATTACAAACTTGTGTTTTTCTAATTGGCTTTAATTGCCTTGATTGAGCAAAAATAATCCAGAAGTGATTGTCCTTCACCTCTCCCTTTTATTTTTATTCCCAGTAGAAGCCAAATGCCCTTTGGACATCTTGGAGCTGCAGGAACGTGCCAGAAGCCTGAAGAGCCCTCTCACTGTCTTGTAATTAGGGAGCAGCCAAAGGGGCATCCCTGGAGCCAAAAGTGGGAAAGGGGAATTCAGTACCTTTTCTTGAACCCCCCTTCCTGGGCTTTTTGGGATTGCTGAGTTTCAGTTATTCAGTTTAATAGAGTTAAAAATCCGATGAGATAGATCCACGTCTTCCGTGTCTGCTTTCCGGGCAGTCAAAAATGAAAGCAACAGGAATGTGGTTTTGTATTTGATATGTTATGCCACGTCCTCAGGTTGGTTTTAGATCACAGAGATTACAGGATTATCCCTCTCCAAAACTTTGAATCATCTTCTCACATGTGATATTGTTAAAAATTGCTTTCTGGTCTCTTTTCAAATGGTGGTTGCTGAATGATCTGATCTGAATGCTAAATAAAGTAAAACTTTAAATATCCTGTGCTCTGTTCTGGTAACATTGAGCCTTGGAATGTGCTAATTCTACATTCTCAGAAGACGAAAAACTCCTTTTAATTAATAGATGAATCAACAATGCTATTGTAAATTTTAAAAAGCTGCTGATGTGCAAGAAGGAGCTTTGCTGGATGCTCCAAACACTGAAAGAATCACATAAACAGAAGGTGTGATGAAGGGGAGCACAAGAAATTGGGCCTTTTTTTGTTTCTAGGATTTATTGTTTTGTGGCACAAGAAATGGATGGAAACCTGTCAACTCAAACACTGGGACTGTGCAAAGCTGACTGATGCACCTGGAAGTAAAATGTACAATGGCCAAAAGGCAAGTTCTGGAAAACAGATTTTCCAATAAAGAAGATGACTAAAAAACTGGTAATTGAAATCAATCTGAATCTGGATTTTCTCATGAGAATTCCCACTCAGCCCATGGCACTGAAGATGGGTGAACAGCACTAAGGGCTTTTTGTGGCTGGTTGAGTTCCGTTTGTATTTGTTGGTTGGTTGGTTTCTGGTTTTTTTAGGTTTTTTTTTTTGCCTAGGATTCCAGCAGAGATGATTGACATCTTCCTTAAAAAAATAGTATTTTTTTCATGATTTCACATTTCAGTTGTTCTTCCTTTAGTCCCAAACTGCTCACGCAAAAAAAGTAGCTCAGAAACAGTTTTCAGTGTGAACAACTAAAAATAATCCAACCTTATTCAGCAAACTCTGAAGTTCTGAGATGCTCTAATTTAGAGAACTATTCCCTTGCACAGCCAAAGAGCACCAGGTCACAGCTATAGCAGAGTTCCTGTCCCAGGATTTTGCCTGGGCACTGAGGCAGTTTAGGGATCTTCCTCTGACCAAATTTTGTCCATAAACCTCAGGCTGCCACACCTTCCAAATAACCTGCATTACCAAAATCAGAGCAAATTCTGATTTCACTGCTGTTTGTCAGGAGGACAACAAAGCAGTAAAGCACTTTTTAATGCACACAGACATTGGGAAACGTGCCCTGCACAATATTCCAGTGTGGGAGATGCTGTAGCCAAACCTGACAAATTAAGCATTTCACCATTTCATTTTACTGTAAGACATCCAGGTTTTCAAATCCAGCTCATTTAGTGCTCCAAGCCCAAGGAAGTAGACCCTACTTGACTCCCCAAAGCGAATTCCCACTCCAGACATCCTGGATTTGCTGAGAGAGGTTCACATACGGATGATTCAGCCATTATATGCATATTTTTTCTGCTTTGTCTCCAAAATGAATAATACAACTTAAAGTTTGCAGTGACAAGAACCTGCAGTTGTGCCCTGAAACTAAAGACCTGATCATTCAGCTACAGCAGTTCATGTGTCTTCATTTATTCCTGGAGTGTATGTGTATATAAATATATATATATATATATATATATATATATATATATATATATGACTTGTAAAATTTACTAAATGTGATTTATTTGTTTATAAAGAACATCATTTTATCTGGAAAGTTCCCTACAAGAGCATCATTGCTTTAGAAACGTTTTTATTCCTTGTTTGTTTTTTTTTTTTACTTGCTAAAAGACTAAGCATTATCTACTAATAACATGAAGATGCAGAAAAGAAAAGGTCAATTTAATTGGAACTACTATTTCCTGGGGTTTAAAAGGAAAATGTTGAAGCTAAGATGACATTGACAAATTGCTACTATTTATTTAAATTGTGTAATGCAATCTACCAGTAGTTCTATAATCTGCATGTTTGAAGCAGTTGACCCGTCCAACTAATGCAAACAAATTAGCCTCCCGGGTACTCACTCTATCCTATAAGCCATTAAATATCCTAATCTAACATCATTTAATACACAAACTCTCTTAGTTAAAGTGTTACAGTGGATATGTGTTATAAAAATTACAATAGGCGAGGTCCGGAGCAGAGCCCATGTCAGTAAATTTGTGTTTTCTGTCACTCGGCCCAAAAAAACCACCGTGGGGACACATTTTGGGTTCCCCTGGGCCCCCCTCCCCCCTCCACGTGCCCAGCAAAAATCTTCATTGCCACATAATTAAATTACCTCCAAAGTCCAGCACTGGTTTAAGTGTTTTAAGTTCGATGGTTCCCACCACTAATACATTGGACAAATTTCTTTCCAATAAGTAAATTGGTCTCGGGGAAGTGTTTGCATTCTAAATGTTTCCAGGAAAATTAAGGCTCCATTATGCCTGTTATACACAGGGCAGGAACAACTCTGGTTTTCTCCCTGATTTATAGAAATGCCAATCCAGAGATTTCACAATTCATGCAAATCAACTCACCTGAAGGGAATGGGATTGTTTGTCTCAATAAAAAATGAATAAAACCTGGTGTAATTAGCAAAGCAATAATTCCCCCAGGGACTCAATCCTGGTGTTGTGTGAAGAGGGAAAATTGCCTGTTCTCCATTATGACAAATACACCAATAAGAAACACATAATTATTATTTTATCATACTGAGAGGTCTGTTCCGGAATTTATCCAGGAGTAAAGTCCACCTCAGGCAGCAGCAAAACCAAAAGACTTCTGAGGGCTCCCATGTCTTCCCCTTGGTTTCTCTTGCCCTTGGATCAGTCCTTTAAGGATCAGGTAGTCAATCGAGTTTCATAAGAGCAGGGAGATAGATAAAGGCAGCATGGAATGATTAAATCAATCAGGAAAGTAATAATCCTATAACCAAAGGAAAGTCAATAGGTTATATATCACTGGCAGGCTATAAAGTCATTACAGGAGCTTATGGGACTGAGTCACACAATTAATTGCTGAAGAAAAATCTCGAGGTTGCAGTAAAAAAGTATATTTTGAACATATTGATACAAGGCTGGTACTTTTGGTGAACTTTTCCTGGCAGATAACTAAGCAACAACAAAAATAATCCCACAAAACTGAATCCCCTCAAATTACCAAACCATGTGGAAGAAGCTTTTTCCAAGCTGTTACTGAAACTTCCTTCTTACAATATATATTTTAGGTGGAAAAAAAAAAGACCTTATGAATTTATGAATTCTATAAGGACCAAGCTGAATCTGGTTTTCACTATGAAAAGAAATAGGTGGGATCAAGAACCCCCTGTAGAAACCGCAAAAATGAGGAAAAAAAAGCAAGATTCTGCAGAAATTTGGGCAATCTTGTTGCCAGAGTACAGATATTAATAGTTTCACGTGCCTGGTTGTGAAAAGCACAATGGGTTTGAAGAGCTCTCCGAAGAGATTTCAATTCAATGAACGTAAGAGTGAGAAGGAGCTGAGCAAAGGGCTCTGATTCAGAGCCTCTGACCCCTCTCAGGAGAGTCATCAACGACTGCTCCAGGTCTTATACACAGAAATATAGAAAAGAAACCCCCTCTCAGTTTAAAACCTTGATCAATCGATTCCAAAACCAAAGAGATTTAAGCAAATCCAACCACAAGACCCCAGCTCTGCCTCCTGCTGCAGGTGTGAGGATTTTGCCTCATCCAAGGGGGTTGTTTTTTCCACTACAAAAATTCTCACTTATTTTCCTTTCTCTGAGAAGTGATTAAGTGACTCATGGATGAGCTCTAGAAAATTGATAGTTGTCAGAGGTAAAGACAATGATCAGTGCAAAAGGTAAGTTTACCATAGAATTGGGATTTTAGTCTTTTCTCATGTTCCTTGCCTAGTTTGGAACTGTTCTGGTTCGTAACAATCAGCTATTGTCAGCTGCTAATTATTAATTTCTCTTGGTTTCACATCTTCTAAGCTGAAATGACACTGAAAGGTGGTTTGAAAAGTAAAGTCATTCAACCTTTTCTGAATTCTGGTTAAAAACATGCTCTTTAATAGGACTAATGGTTGAATTTCCCTCTCTATATTGTATTGCAATACTTTGGCCCTCGAGAAATCCAGATTATTTTGCAGGTTAGTGCAACTTTTAAGTTCGGATTTCCAGAGAAACATTTACAGAGAAACAAATCTGCATTAACATGAATGATAACATATGAGGTATTTTAAATGAATAGTAATTAAAATTTAGTAGGATGATAATACGCTAATTAAATATCAATTGTTTGCTCAGGACCACTTATTGAGTTTAATAAGTATGTAAAAGATATTAATCTAGTTGTCATGCAATTACCTCATTGAGGGGGAGTGGGAATATGTGCGTGTGTGTGGGAAGAGCAAATCATGAAATGCAAACTCCAGTTTGAAATCTGCGTTAAGGTTGTGACAGAACTAAAGAAAAAAATTAATAAATTGCTCTTTCTTCCCTCCCTTGGAGCTACCGGGATGTTCAGAGGAGTGAGCTGTGGGTATTAAAAGGGCTGAGGAAGGGATGTGCAGGGAGGCAACAGAATTGTAGGACCACGGAATGGTTTGGGTTGGAAGGGACCTTGAAGCTCATCTCATTCCAACCCCTGCCATGGGCAGGGACACCTTCCACTAGCCCAGGTTTCTCCAGCCCCCATCCAGCCTGGCCAACCACAATAAACCATGGCAAACACAGCAGTCTAAAGGTTTAATTTTACAATTAACGCACAGATGCTCTTTTAAGACCTCCACATCATCAGATGTCAACCATCCCTAAAGCCCCTCACTGAGCACTCTAAAGAATTATTTACATTTTTACCCACCATGGGCTGCAGTTGCATTAAGTGTCTCATATACAAAAAGGAAATCTTTGGCCATTTCTCTGGGATTTACACATTAATGAAGTTTTCTGTAAGGTTGTTGTGACAACTGTACATGGACTTATCAATTTCACCCCCCTAAATAAAAATAGGTACTTTTTTACCCCCTGGATCATAATTTCAACCTGACGGGTTTTGAAAACAGGAGATGGGATGCTCCCCACATTTTTCTTATAAATTATCCATCCTTTCTGCAGCAACTTGGAAAGCAGTGCCAATTTTTTTATAGCTCAGAGCAGTTATAAAATATTAACCATATCAGACTTTATTTTTCCACAGCCCTGTGTGGAAAAAGGCAAGATTTTTCTGCTCCCATATTTACACAGGCATTAGAAACAGAGAAAGGTGGTAGGAAATTTGAGTTTATTTCCCTGCTAACCAAGGGGAAGCAGTTTACCTACATTATTTCCAGCAGCACTTTGACAAACCTGTTGACAAAAACTCACTGAGGAGAGAAGCCCTCTTTCCTAACAGGGCTGTCTTCATGTTTAACCACCCTTTTTATCCAAAATCTTTGCTGTAAAGGAAGCTAATTCCTTCTTTTCCTAAACCCAACAGAGAGAAAGAGATATTGACTTTTCTGCCAGCAAATCCAGCTCGTTCAGCCCTGTCTCCAACCCACTGTTTCTGAATCTTTCATCAGTTTTGGTCCTTTTCAGGGCTCTGATTCCTGCACAGCATCCTTAAAGATCCCTGTTTAAGCAAGGATGCTGCAGCACCCAGAGCCTGCCCTGCCCCCAGGCTTCAGAAAAACAGCACAGGCAGCTTGGAAAAAAATGTTTGAAGCACAAACAGAAACGAATATGAAGAAAAGCTTCAAGATAAATTACAGGGGACTGTGTTTTTTCCATCCCCTCTCAGCACTGCTTTGTAAAGACCCCCAGTTTTAGGAGCAGAGGGTAGAGAATGGGCAGCAAAAAAGTGTTTTTCTCCTTTTAGACACAAACCATTAGATTATCAAAAAGCTTAATATGAAGAGGGAAGGAAAGAAAAGATGAGAGAGGTAAGAACTGGAGTTTGGAGAAGCTCTGTGCAGAAAATTCAACCAAGTGGGTGTGAAGACTGGGGTCCCACCAGTGGGGTCAGGGCAGCTCCAGGGAATCTCCCAAGGGAGATTCTCTCAGCCTGGGGGTTTTTTTTCTCCCAATTGTCCCTGCAGCCACACTTCAGCACATCCACGTTCTGAGCCTCTCTAATTAATTAAAAGGAGAACATAATTAATGCAGCAACTCTTATTCTGGTTTAGGCCATCAGAGGGAGGGTGGGAGGGGAAGCAGGGGGCAGATGCACCTGAAATGGAGATTTTTGGTGACACAAAGCTGCTGCAAACCCAATGAAGAAGTAACTCCAAACAATTCTAATATTGCTCTGCATCCCCACAGGCAGCTGCAGGACATGGGGGAGTCCAACCCAGAGAAACAACAGAGATGGAAGCCTTTCTAGCAGAAAAATACTCCCCCTAAACATCAGCAGCTTCTGCAATAGCGAAGGCTCAAATATGTTGCTGGGTCACCTCACTTTTGCAGATCACCCCACAGATATTGGGAAGCTTTGCTGTGCCATATGTGCATCCTTATTCTCTTTCAAAACCATCAGTTGTCGAGAGATAAAAATCCAGAGTTGTGTTTGGGGGAGAAAAAGCAGCACACACTGAGGCTCCAAAGCAGGGCTGGCGTTTGAAGTGTCACTTTTGGTTTTGATCACCATTTTATCAGCACTAAGGGAAAGTGCCTTGCTGCACCCAGAGAGCTGCCTCAGCCAATAACCCGTTAGGAGCAGCCTCTTTAGTGTGGGGATAGAAGCAAACACGGGGAGAGATGGAGGCAGATGATTAAATGGGCTGAAAATCCAGGCTGACACCCCGGGACCGATGGAACAAAACTGGGGTGGGGGGAAGGGACAAGAGCACAAACAAGAGCTTAAATTATCCAGCCGAAATTCCCACCTTTAACAACACACCACTGGCTGATGGCAGTGGAGCACCTTGAGTTCATGTCTGTCTTGTGCAGATCGGGCAAAAACTCCCAATTACAGGCCTGCAGTTGAGTATTTCCACAATGACAGGATTATTCAGCAGCACATCACCACAGGGCTATAAAAGTGTGTTGTTGACTCAGCCCACTGGGCCAATCCTCTGAAACGATTTCTTAGGAGATGTTGCTCTCCAATATCTCTAAACCTACTTCCAGATTTTTTTTTTTCTTCATTTGAAGATCACTGACCTGGTGCAAGAAAATATTTTCCCTCTGTAGGAGGCAGACCTCTTCCCTTCCTGTGACTTTCAAACCACCAGAACTTTGAAGAATTTACTGTACATCTCTTCCCACTCTCTAGAGCACCCAGTTCCTTACCCAGGCAGACCTCCTGATGTTTTCCAAACATAAATAAACACTATATGCATTCAAATTCTCCATCTGCATTTATACCTGTGTGTGCTTTACAGATTTCTCTCCCAGCCCACTAAACCCATTTATTTTTGCCAACCTTTATAAGCAACAATCTCTTAATTCACAGGATTAAAATGGCCAAAAATATTTTTATCCTTCTGCTGTTCCTTTAATATTGGATCTGTGTGAAGTTCCCACACACTTTTAGCAAATAAAGGCTCATTTCTAGATTTGTCACAGAATAGCAGGAAGTTGGAATTTCCAACTGCTCTGACCTGGACTTAGGGATAGCTTTTACATCATTATATAGATATTTAGGACTGTAGTTACATAGAGCTGGGTGGTCCAGGTAAGTCTGGTTATGATAAAAGGCTGGTGGAGAACTAGAATTCTACTAGACTGGCTGTTTTGGTGGCAAGGATTTGGGAATTCCATAAAATTCAGGACAGAAGAGGAACTGTGAAGGGGTGAATTCCAAAGTTTAAAGAGCAAATATTCACTGGACTTGAAATCCAAGTGGTCAAATCAAGTCATGGATGTGGCACATCCAAAAGAACCAGACTTCAGTCAAGCATCCAAGCTGTGGAATACAAAAATCAGCTGGAAAGACCAGCACTTGTCAAGGCATCACCACCTTTCAACTTGGAAATGTCCTTCCCTTCTGTGGGAATTTCCATGTATAATAATGAAGGAAAAAAAAAAATCTTTAAAAAAGGGTTGCCAGGAAGACAAATTCAAACTTTGTGGTCATTTTCTATTCTAGTGCCTCTCCCTCCCTCGGGCTCTGCCCACACAGCTTTTTATATAAAATATTACTGTGGGGACACTCTGAAATGGTCATTTCAGCTTCCTGTTGGGTCGTAACAAAAACATTCCTAGAAATAAAGGCTGAGGCTCACAGCATCCCCTGGGTGGACATTGTTGGAACAGGGGCTGATGAGGGTCCTCCTTCAGCTGGAGGGGTGGGTCAGGGCTCCAAGGAGCTGCCCTGGAGGGATGGGATCCATGTGTCTCCTCCAGCTATTCCCAGCTGGCACAGCCCCTTCTACTCCTGCTCAAGATGGAAGCTAAAAGCTACTCACAGACCAGATTAATCTTTCTTTCACTCACATTTAAAAAATACATAATAAATATTCTCCAAAATTCCAAGAGGGGCTGATCCTGCTTCATTAATAGCAGTGCCTAAAGCAGCAGATGGACTGTGGCTGCAGTGCTTCAATATATTCATTATTTAGGCCATTAATTTCCTTTGCACCGAAAACATCTGGCTTCTGATGCTCAGGGGGAAAAAACAACATGATCCAAAACTAGTTTTAACTACAGGTTCATCTTCTACCAGGGCAGGGTAAATTCAAAACCAAGGAGGAAAAAAAAGCAAGAAGTTTATTCGCCGTTGGAGAGGACGGAACAAGGTATAAATTTTAAGGGATTTTTGTGTAAGGGGAGCTCACTGGATATGATTTTTTAATTGCTGCCTGCAAAACCCACGGGAAGAGCTGCTTCTTTTCCTTTCCTCGGGTGTTTAGCACAGGCAGAGCTGTACAAGTAACTAACGCTGTGGAGAATCCCAGGCTGGGGGCTCAGAGCATCCCTGCTCCCCAGTGAAAGATTCCTGCCCTGGCAGGGACTCCCACACATTCCTGCTTCCCTTGGACCCTTTCCCCACGACACCAAATGTGTTTCTTATAAAACCAGCAAAGCCTGCACCGATGTAGGTTTTTAAAACCAGACTTTTGTCAAGATTACTGTCTTAGGCAGAGATATGTCACACATCAGGGAAGGCAAATCCCACCTAGTGGCACAATAGCCTTGAAATTAAGCAGGATTTTCCTACAAATAATCTCAAATGGAATGTTATTAAAACACAGCAAAACCAACTATTTTCAGGCTCCTCCACAAGGCAATGAACTGCCCCATGGAAACAGAACTAAGGTTTGGTTGTTTAATATACCAACAACACCAGGGAGGAACTATTAACCTGTTTCCAGATTGTTATCATTTCTTAGACTCTCCAAATTGCATGGTCTCAAGTAGGAAAGACAGGAAAGAGTAATCCAGTGGAATTAAAGAGAACAGGCCTATTGTCTCCTGCTCCTCATCTCCTTCCCTTGCCCAACTGGCCAGAAGCTCGTTATCAAGTTTTTCTGCTCTTATATCAAGACAAATTTTCTAAACCTTACTTTTTAAACTTTCTTCCTCTCAAATGACAGGGGTTGCACAAAAAAATTTGAATTTCAGAGCCAATGTGTGCTTTTTCCACACACGTTGCTAGTTCGTGAGGTAGAAATAAGCCTTTGAAGAGAGGTGACATCTCCAGCCACACACTCTGTGTCAGGGACCCCACAAACTTATTTATAAACCACTTTCCTAAGGACCCACCAGGTTTAGAGAGAAGGGCTCTCAAAGCTTGACCAAAAAAAAAAAAAAAAAAGGATCACTTCTTTAGATCCCTGCTTTGGTAACTTTTTCATAATTTTTTATGAAATTGCTGTTCATTAAACAACAAGAAAAAAATCCAGATGAAAAAAATTGTACTTTCAACCCATCGTTTTGCAATGATGGATTTTGCTCTTTCCACATCTGAAAGGTTCCAAACATGGAATATGAAAAGGTTCTTGAGTGTTTGTGGTTACAGATGAGCTTATTTTTAAGCTGCTCACAAAATGAGAGAACTTCACCAGCCTGTAAAATAATTATTGCTGCAATGAGGTGGATTATGGCTAAGAAAGATTTCAAAGGTTAGATTTAACTTCTCCTCAGGAAATACTGCTTTAAATTTGAAGCTGTTCTTCAGCTGCAGCATTGCCCAAACTTTGGTGCTGGCCTAAACAAGAACAGATAATTCTAACAATTTCCTGCCCAAAATGTTTTACCTTTGAATTACCTGAAATTAAATTCATAATGAGAACTTGGGAGAACATGAAATGGAGGGTGATGTCCGGAAGGAGAACTTTGAGAGCTCCTCAATTCTGCAGTGGGCAGCCTTTAAAATCTCTTGTAAAGGATTTGTTACTTAAGAAACACAAGATGCCAACTTGGTCACTCCTAACATGATGTCAGAATTCAGCTGTAACTGGGACAGAGATAACTCTCCAACAATTCCCTGTGCACCAAGGAAATAGTCAACAATGCTGCACTAACCAAAGTGAACAGCAGCTCTCATTAGATGACTATCTCTGCAGGAATAATGCACCTGTTTAGGTTTAATTAAATGTAATAGAGAACATTTTCTTGTAATAGCTATAGATGTCCATACATCTCTATCATACTTGGCTTCAAGAATTCATCCATTTTCCTCACATCCCCTCATTTGGACAATTTATCGTATTGTCAGACCACTAATGTAAGTCATTTATGAGAAGTTTTTATAGTAATTTACAGGCTAAGTAGGAATATCACAGTCACTGGAGATGTTCAACACTCCTGTAAACTTGCACTGAACACAGTAATTCTGATGGATAATTAAATTGATAAGGAAAAACAGAGATGATTCTGTCACAATGAAAGTATTTTAGAAGGATTTAAGCTTGAATTCTCCAATTCTCACATCAAGATCGCTGTGCATGATGAAAACCCTGTTTCTTTTCTTTTGCTTCTTCCCAAAACACAACTTTGCCCGGCCTGGGACAAAGAGTAGCTCACACCTGAACTAAAAGTTGGGATCTGCAGCACAGGAAGCTGCAAATTCAAGAACCTTACCAAGATTTAAGAGATGTGTGGATGTGGCACTTGGGGACATGGGTTAGAGGTGGCCTTGGCAGCGCAGGGAGAAGGGTTGAACTCACTGACATAGAGGGCTTTTCCTAAACAATTCTGTGATTTCATAAGACTGTGCTTTGTTCCTTTTATTCACTTATTTTTGGTGCACAATCCATGCTGATGGATTCCACGCATGTCCAGTCTCTGGGCACTTGGAGAGTTGGATACTTTCAGATTCCTCAGTGTGGAAACTCCCCAGAAGGGCTTTTTTTCCCCTTTCACAGGGCTCATCTATTCCTGCAGAAGAGTTTCCTCCATCCCTGTGCTCCTTGTGTTCTGTAAGTCTCCCACCTGCCTTGTTTTGGGAGCCCAGCTGCAGACGCAGGTCTGACCCACTCCAGCTCCCACCTGATTCCTGCCAAACAAGCAGAATTCCACCTCCACTCTCCTACTCCCCACGCCAGCATCTGCAGATCTGATTTTGCTCTGTAAATAGATGATATCCAATATTTATAAAAAGATTAAGCTAATCTGACATTTAATTAATGGAAACGGCGATGTTTGACTTTTTATTTTAATAAGCAACACCCTTTGTTCCCACAGAAATCATTACTAGCAGGATGTTAAAAAGAAAATAAAATAAAAAGGCAGAAAGATTTAACAAAAGGTTCCATTAAATTAGAGAGCAATAAACAAACACAGCCAATTTATGCAGCGGAGTCATTAAACGTGTATCCTCTCCAACACTTCCCTCACAGACAGTACTTAGGGCTGGTGGGATTGATCTGCAGGGAGCAGTTACCTTAATTATAAAATGAAACACCTCTGCTAATGCAGTCCTGGAGCCTCGGTAGTTTCCACCCCAGCCATGTGGCTCCAAATGCTAATTCCACGAAGGCTCCGAGGGCTCGGAGGTGCCGCGCTCGGCAGCCCGTGACCCTCCCCGGCTCCTCTCTCCTCCCTCCTGCCCTTGGGGTGGAGACAAAATGCAAGAACTCTTTGGTCCAGCTCAGCATGGTCTTCTGAATGGTTCATTCACGGGCAGCCATTTGGACAAGAAAGCCCTTTTATCTGATTATCTGCCCTCATCCTTAGAGCTTGTGCCGAGAGATGTGATGAGCCTTGCAGGAAAAATTAAAGAAGATGTAAACAGTAAATGCAGACATTTTGCAACATAGCTAAAAATAAATTGCACTACAGGCAATTATGCAAGTTTTACTGGATACATTAAAAAGACATTAAATGCACAGCTGTTTTAAGTGTCTTTTAAGCTGATAAATTAACTGTCTAATAAATTGTAAGATTTGTCAGCTAATAATGCTATTTTATCTGCTTTAACATATGCCTTCCTAGTTCATGAAGCATTATTGTAAGTGCCAAAAGGAGATAATGTGCATTTTACAGTGTTATGTCTTAAGTGGAATGGATCATTGGCCATGAAGAAGTGTGTTAATAAATCTCCTAGGCTTTGTTAATTGCACTCAATGAAGTGTCACTGTTAAAACACAAAAGATGTGAGAGAGAAAGCTGAACATAATGTCTTTCAGTTTTACAATTAACAGTTCACTAGGCAAATCGACCAAAAAGACCATAATTTGTTGAAGCCTTATTAACTTACATTTTCCTAGTCAAGGTCATAATTGTGAATGGCTCAAAGCTATCTTTTAATGCTCATCAAGAAGAGTAACCTTGCTAGAGAAAATGAACTTTTCTGTCTTTCGGTAGCACTTCTCACTTGCTTTGCAGGTAGAAGACAAATAAAGCTGAACTTTGTTATGCAGCCACCTCCTTCAGTCTCTCACCACCAATGAGTGCCACTCATAAGGGGGGAAACATGAACTTCAAACATCTTTTCTCTGCAGCAAATTAAAAACTGGGAAAAGTACAATAATAAAAAATGTTTTTGAAGTGTAGAAGCCTATCAGAGCTGTCCTAGCGCAGAATGAAAGCTGTTAATTTTCATTTGTAGGATTACTCATCAAGATTTGAGGTTTTCCCCTGGAAACTGAACTCAGGGCAGAAAAGAAAACAAATAACCCGCCACGCTTCACAAACAATCATCAAAATCAAATACAATCACTAAATACCCTTCATGAGGAAGAGCTATTTCCATAATTCTTATTAAATATTGATTACTTAACATATGAACACTTCACAACATCTCATCAGATTGGCACTACTGGGCTTTGTTGCAAAATCTTCCCACTTAAGATCATTTTGTGATGATATGAAGTATTTTCTCCACCAGGGGAACCAGAGTAAATACTGATGATGATGTCTTGACACCCAGAAATATAGATGTGTGATCACCAGCTCACTAATCCTCAGGAAGCAATGAGAGCACATGATAGAAGAATAATGCCCAAGCGTTAATTGCAGTCTGTCATTTCTTCCTAAAACCCTCAAGATGCAGAACACGATGATTTCATGGAAGTCTCCACGTATTTAAATCTCAGACTACAAATGCCATCACTTGCCATTAATCCAACCATTCCTTTGTGCTGTTCTACTTTAAGTTTGATCCACCTGATAACAGTTGTAACACTCTTCTTTGGGTGATAATTTTCACCATTTACCCCGAGAAACAATGAGGTTGAATCAATACCTGCCAGGGATTCCATTCCTGGGCATGAGGTACAACCCAAAACACAAAGCAGAGCTAACAGGCAGCAGCATTAAATAACACCTGCCAACAACCTGGGAATGCTTCTTTACATTTTTAATGGCATTGCTTCAGTTGTTCAGACTTTAAATCTGTTTTATTTATGCAGAATCAGAGGGGTCACATCTCTCAAGTGAAGTATCATAGATGAGTATATCCAAAAAAAGGCAGTTTGGGGTTAGTCTGAGACTGCACTGACATGAGTGTTACAGGAAATAAAACAACTATCAGAAAACAAAGAGAATTCCTTCTTTTCCCATAAGGCTCTGCCTTAATGACAGGATTATTTAAACAATCATGGAATTGTTAGGGTTGGAAGGGACCTTAAAAATCATCCAGTTCCACCCCCCTCCATGGGCAGGGACACCTTCCACTAGATCAGATTGGTCCAAGCCCTGTCCAACCTGGTCTTGGACACTTCTAGAGATGAGCTGGACAACCAGCAGTGTATGTTCATAGTAGGGAATACCTACAGAAATTAATATTTTCAACTAATTCCTCTTGAACATGCACCTTAGAAAGTCCTCCAGAGGGCTGAACTCATCCAACCAGAAAAGTAAAAATGAATATATCATTTGTGTCCAAGTAAAGCAACCTGCATTTCAAACTCCATAGCTCACACTGAGGTCAAAAATCCTCCTTAAAAACTGTGCCATGAATAAGACTGCATAATTTTGAATTAATTAATAAAATCAGTGCAAGATTTTAACTATAACTTAATTGAAAATAGTATCTGATATGGAGATGTGCACATACACATGTGTAGAACGAAATAAAAAGGTATACACATAAATATAGTTCAGACTCACAGTTACTCCACAGCTGACAGGAGCAATTTCAAGAGATCACATTGAAACCACTGACACCAAGATAACACAAAATAGCTGAAACGCCGTGTTTTGTAAATAAAGAGATTTATGTTTGCACTACAATAACTCAGCTACATAAGGAGTAAGAGCTGAAGGGAGCCATCCTGAAAAGCTGGGAAACCCTTAAGGATTTGAACATCACACTTGCAGCTGGTTCACTTTCTTCTTCACATGCATATCAACTAAAGCACTGGGACAGGAGGACAGGCAGGAATTCAGACTCTAATCCAGCACAGGGATGTGTTGCTCTGCTCCCACTGGATGCATCCCCTCGTACAAGACTTGATATCAAGGCTTAGTCTTGTCCCTGGCCCAGGTATAATCCCATGTTTGATCTCTTAGGAACAGCCAGGGGAATGCTGTCCCCCAGCTACCCCCAGAGAACTCCCACACCTCTTACAAGTTGCTTTCTCACGATTTTAAAAATGGGAGTTATGAGGCCTGTTATTTGTCTTTGTGTGCTGTTTCTAGAAACATGATTAGCAAAAATGCCCTGAGGGTTTGTGATTTGATTCTGTGTGCAAATCTTGCAGGCAGAAAAAGAACTGCAAGCTTTGCTCAGTCTGGGGTTTCCTACCCTGCTTTGAGCCACCTGATCAGGCTGTACAGTCACATTCCAACTCTTTAAGGTGAAACAGTCCAGTCTGAGAGACTGTATTTGCACTTTATGATGATGCAATTCAATGAAGGAGAATCTATTTCTGTTCATGGACTCTTGGTATGAAACCACATTAATACAACAAGTTTGGCCTTGGAAAATTGAGATCCCTTGAAATCTCAGTACCAATCAATGCTTTGAGAATACAGTGGGGAGGTCTCAGCCCTCCTCCATCGATCCAAGCCCCACAAGTATCCTTCAAAAGACATATGGCACAAGTTTTGCAGAACTCAGCTAAACAACCTCCTAGAAAATGTATAATTATTCACTCTTCTGACCTCAAAACATTTATCTTGAGTAGCAGGATTTCCTGAGATAATGATAAATTGCTATTCTTTAGGTTGAAAGAGGGTTGCAAGACTGGGCATGTTTCCTGGGCCAAGACCACAGACCCTGGAAACTACACTGGAGTGGAAAGGTCCCTGTGATTCCCTGGGAATGACACTACCTCCACATCATGGGAGACACCTATACAAGAGCAAACAAAGCAAATCTCAAGGTGTTCTGCTCTACTTTTTGGTTTTTTCTTTAAGTTGGGTTCAGCAGTTCTTAAAGAGTTCTTAAATCACCTTGAATTTAATTTCTCTAAGCCACGTTTAAAGGGAAGAATTACCATCTGTCACAGTTGGTTAATCAGGATCCGTGTGCTACACCTCCTTCACTCGTTATTAAAAAATAACCCCTCAGTTCCTAAACTTTCTGGGATCTTTTCCATGAAGATGCAAGTCATGCTTATCCCGTGGGAGCTCCTGACAGCACTCACAGAAGTTACCTCACCTATGAACAAGCACAAGGATGATGGTTTATATAATGTTGCTACATCATTTTTATTACTTCTGTCTGTACCAGTGGTTCCTTTTTTATTTATCTAGTCTCTCATGAAGCTCAGAAAACATTAACATATGATTCA